GAGAGAGAGAGAGAGAGAGAGAGAGAGAGAGAGAGAGAGAGAGAGAGAGAGAGAGAGAGAGAGAAGAGAGAGAGAGAGAGAGAGAGAGAGAGAGAGAGAGAGAGAGGAGAGAGAGAGAGAGAGAGAGAGAGAGAGAGAGAGAGAGAGAGAGAGAGAGAGAGAGAGAGAGAGAGAGAGAGAGCTACAGCAACGCAATGACGCGTTAGGAAAGTCCTGTTTGTTCAGTCGTACGCAAAATGGCACTGGCAGCTGTGGTAATTACCGTCGAGTCGTTAGAAAAGCCATGATCCCCTTCTGTTATTCGTGGTGTCGACAGCGGTGATCATGCAGTACGGAGTTGGAACTGTAAAATAAAAGCATGTGTTGATAGCCCGTTTTGTCCGTATCACTTATGGATACCATTTCAAGTAACCGCTGACCAGAACTGCGCCTTCAATTCATTGAGCTTTGGAGTAGGCCTCAGAGGTGAGAATATGCTCTTGGATGATCCACATGCAGGGCGCATCAGCAATACAGGCGTCCCAAGAGCCTCTTGCAATGGTGGATAAGCTGTCAGATTGCGAAAATGCAAAGGCACTCGGCGGCCTGACTGGGCTGGGTGGCACTCCTTTGCTGCTTGGATCAGGCGCGATGTCGGCCTGGTCCTGTTTTGTTATGTCGACGACTGTCAATGCTTCAGTTCACCTTGAATCGCAACAGCTGACCAGGGGCGTACGCAGGATTTTGCGATGGTGGGCAGGGAGGGGGCGGCTTGAAGAGCAGATATTGTTTGAGCGGTGTAAATAAACCATCGCATGTTATGCATATTGTGTTATTTTCCGTGTTTGCTTGGAATTTCAGCTGCCAACATTTTGTCACCATGTTACACACGCTTGGCTGGCCGGCTGAATACGACGCCCGGGCACGGTGGGGGTGGGGGACAGTTTGGCTCCCCGAGATCTCTGAAATTAAGAGAGCTAGAGATATAGCATTCCCAGAGTGGACAGGGCCTTACGTTAATTCACTTGTGTCAAATTTAGAGATCCCTAGGCTTGACCCTTTCATAGGCATAGGCGTAGGCATAGGATAGGCATAGGCACATGCATAACATAGGCAAGTTTAAATAACATGTTTTTTTACCTCAACGGGCTCTAGAAACCAAAAATCAGAAACTACATCACAAAGTAAGATATTTAGCATAAAAACAAGTTGGCTTTGACCTACGCCTGACCTTTATACCTTATCCAACGTCCATGGAATAAGCTCGTAATCCCGATGTCTATTGCGTAGCTGTTAAACATACCGTCTCTAAGATATATAGCTTCATCTTGCACTCCATTGCCGCAACAACTTGAACCATTCCATAGAAAATGTTTTCGTTGACACTCATGGCCTGATTTTGAGCAGCCATGCATAATTCAGTGACCTTACAAGGTTTGCGTAGCTGCGCCGTGCCGTTCGGAAGCTATATCCAAAAAATACTTGGGATGGGTGCAAATTGACCTCGACACATGCCGTAAATTTGGTAACACGCGGGTTTTCCGCTCCTGGAGATTACCATATACGCAGCCCCCTGCAGCCGACCAGGGTCAGGTCAGGTCAGTTTACCGTTCAGAACCAGTCAACCACTATCCTGCAAGAACTTAGCTTTTTATTTCTTTCAGAATGGGCCCTTGACTACGGCAATTTCATTACGTAGACAAACATCTCAGAAACAAAACACCATTCTAGGCTAAGCTAGAGGTCAGCTGAGGGTAACTTACGTCAAAATCGTAGACCGCCAACTAAACGACAAATAGTGCTAATTAGGTCTAAGTGAACGGTGCAATGCTTTCCTACGGTCAGAAATACTCTGTTATACATCCACAGATACTCAAGATTGTATAGCCCGTGTGAACATCATGCATAATCGCTTCGACTCCTGCCAGCGTATTTGAAACAAGCTGAGAGCAAGCACGCTGGTACATGAAATAAATGATACCTAATCAGCTTCACAAACACGAAATAGAAATGGTTACACGCGCTTTACTCGTTCATCTAGCCCTTTGCTGCTGACAACAGAGATTATTAACCCTGGATGACCTTACACGGCCATACATGCCCTCACGTGACCTATTTTGACCTCATGAGGCACTTGAATTACATCATTTCATTTTTACGTGGAAAAGTCTACTTGTGGATTCAGAATGCTTCAAAAGCTGGTTGCTTTGAGCTCGGCATATATTTTGCAGAATATTCTCCCCATCCCCATCTCTCGGGTGGGGATGGGGAGAATCTGACCACTGCTATATCAAAAAGTGAGAGCTAGAGGCCTAAAAATCACCGGGTGAGCGAGACTATGCACACTCAGTTGTGCATCTTTTTACATCTTTTGGTTTTGATTTTTCGGATCAAATAAGGCGATACAAGGTGAAGCTCGATATCAGTGTCCGAAAGACCCGTAGACCGTCTGCCGCAAACAGGTTTAGCATATTTAAATATATTTATGCACACCCACCCACCCACAGCCACCCACACCCACACCCACACACATATACACACACACACACACACACACACACACACACACACACACACACACACACACACACACACACACACACACACACACACACACACACACACACACACACACATACACACACACACACACACACACACACACATATATATATATATATATATATATATATATATATATATATATATATATATATATATATACATATATTGACCTCATCAGGCATTTGAATTACATCGTTTAATTTCTACCTGGAAAAGTCGACTTATGGGCCCAGAATGCCTAAAAAACTGTGTGTTTTGAGCTGGGTATGCATTTTGCAGAAGGCACTCATAAAGGTAGGTCATGACATAGCCCATTTTCATGTATTTTATGGTCATATGGTGGTTGTACATGTGGGTTAATATTCTTTTTCTCATATCCAGGCACCAAAACTACACAAAAATACATAGAACTTCGCCATATTTACGAAAAATAGCAAAAATTTACTTAGCCTCAGGTCACGGACCTTCCTTTTTCGAAAAATCTCAAAATGAATTTAACTAATCAAAAAACCACTTCTATGACTATTGTAAATTTGAACACTGGCAAATACCGCATAAATAGCTTGTACGCGGTACAAGTTTTTTTAAGTTGACCTCTTCGACCTTGGCTAGGTCGCTGAATTTAGCAGCTGAAAACTTCAAATTCCCACAGGCGATCTCAACTTAATGCATAATATATATATATATATATATATATATATATATATATACATATATCAGCTTCAGCTATCATCATCAGATCAGCTTCATTTGAAGTCACTGCCTTTGCCTTATCCTTAGAATGTCAATGTAACTAAAAATATTTTAGGTCATCTTGATGTCCGCATTTAAAATCAGCTCCCAGAACTACCGACGTTGTCGTGTTCTTAAAAACAAGATGATGCTCAACTTCAGTTGAGAACAATGCCCTCCCGAGAACTCCATACCGTTTACAAAAGGAGTGTCGAAAACTACCTACATAATTTTTCAGTGCAAACTTGTTTGGTTTTCACCTTCTTCTGACCCTTTATACCCGACCCTGACAACCTTGCGTTGACCTTGACCTGCTTCAGCTCAGCGACTTTGGGAGGCATATCGTGTTTTGTACCAAACGGTTTGCTATTTCACTGGCTATAAAATCAGACAGTTTACTGTTGCTTCATCGTACTGTTGAAAAGTTAGTTCGGAAAAACAACTGTACGAAGAACAACTGTTTGCACAGGCCAACGTATTTTATTTTAGATTTATCAGGCGATGCGACCAAAAGCTTTCTTTGAACTATATTCGCATGCATGTGGTGACCGGTTCGACACATCTGGTTTCCCACTGTCCGTCATCACCAAACCACCCCAGCTAGAGGGCCGACATTTTGATCGGGATTTAGAGGTGAAATTTGGAGCTGGACGATTGCTTTCAGTTCACATTTTGGCAAAATTTGGTACCCTGCATTGTTCGGTGTGGACGCCACCCATTATTTTTGGCATTCACGGCAGAAGTAATTGGGGTCTTTAAGTGTCATGCATCGACAAGTCGACTCGCCGGAAATTATGTTTAATTTTTTCCATCACGTTGTCCAGCACAAGTCACGATGCAATACGGTCTGGTCACCTCATTTATAAACGACCAGGTAAAGATAAACTATTGCCTGTGGCACTGAATTAATGGTTTCCAGCCTCAGCACCTGTTTCCAGCCTCATAACCAGGCGTAAGAAGTTGTTTAGCAGGAAGGCGTATTTGCTAGGACTTTTTATTTGTCTTTATCAGAGCCAAAGCATTGCATGTTGACTAGTTTTTGTAGGTAACGCTATTATCTGAGCGTAACGCCGCTTTTTTGGACACGTGAGGGGGAAGGCATTCTGCGCCACCTGATAAAATGTTGGAAAATGTTGGAACAATCATGAAACCAAAACGGCGTTTGATTTCCCACCAGATCTACGTTTCCTAATACAGAAACCATCAATAACTGATCATATTGGCATAAAGGGCGGACGCAACGGACGCATATAAATGCGTTCTGATTGCGGTACCAAACCACCGTCCCAATACTACACATTTTCCTGAAGATGGCGGCTGTACGTCATTCCTGACGATGCACATAGTCGTACTTCCTGTAAACACCGATGGGGCTTCCTGTGGCCGCGCCTGACAGGCCCACCGCCTGACGCGCTGTCCATCTCGAGGCTGGGATTCCCTTCCTGAGAAGCAGCAATATGCAAAATGCGACCCTTCCCAGCTTTTCCCGCCAGTGTGAACACAGAGCGGATATGCGTCTGCTGCGCCTTCCGCGTGTCGCACGGGCAGCGCCGGTGCGGCTCTGTCGCTGCTGACGCCGCCCCTGTCGCCGCTGGCCGCCCGATGACGCCGCGTCTGCCACCGGCCGGCCGCGGAAAACTCGGCCCCGTGCCGGTGACGTCAGCGCGACCAGCGCACCAACTGGAAATCCCCAGGCTGATCCGGCCGGTGGCATTTAGAGGGCGGTCGGCAGGCCGGAGCGACAGTGCGGCGCGGCTCACGCAGAGAGCGGTGGACGGCGGACCTTTCCCAGGCGCTGAGGGAGGGATACGGCTGAGCGGCGCGGTCATCACCTTTGTAGAGCCAACATGAAGCTTTTCGGTGAGTTCACGTTCGCGTCGAGGGTGCCAGAAACGTCGTGGACGTTTGAGTGATTTCAGGACGCGTCAATATCAGATGTCAAATTGCGTGAACATTTGAAGCCGCGACGCTGACCCCGTGGCCGCAGCGCGTGAGCATCATATTATTGGCTCATGAAGGGATCCAAACGGCACTCGTGGGCATTTTCTTCACGCGGGTCGCACGAATCGTTCTAACACCCCTTCGCCTCACTTTGCCGTCATGTCGACATTAAACCATAGCGTGGACTGAGCACACAACTTTCACAGCGTACAGTATTGCAAGGCGAAGCCACACATATGCGCCCTTTATAACACCCCTTAATTAGTCTTCGTTGGGAGTGAAAGTGTGGAGATCTTCGCAAGCAGCAGCCAGGTTACATGATCGGTTGCAAGAAATGCGTCAGATCCAATACCGTTCGATACACGGCTGCTCAATCCAAGTTTAGCTGTTAAATTCCTGCTCAGCCCTGCAAACATTCCGTCACGCAAATGTGATGCATGCTTTTGATGCTCGGTTGGCGAATGCCAGCAACGATACAACAGAAACGAGAACTGGCCACTCCGCACAACGTCGCACATTTTTATCGGGAATGTTTATACATTCATGAAGTCACCTCGCCGGTTGTTTGCATTGCCCACGTGCATGACACATGTCATCCTTACAGGCTTGTTTGCGGTCATCCTGGCGACGTCTGAAGCGGCGCTGGGGAAGCCACAAAAAGTCGTCTCGCGACCGTCAAAATTGGCGCCTCCCGTCTTCAGCATCACCGACCCGCTGGTGAACTTCACGGTGGACATGAGCACAAACTACCTCGCGCCGGGCAACACTGTCCTGTCACCATTCTCCATCGTCAGCGTGATGAATCTGCTGCTGCTGGGCGCCTCCGACCGCACCTACGAGCAATTGCGCAAGACGCTCAAGTACCCGCCCGACTTCCCTGACCTGATCATCCACCAGCACAGCGGCATCGAGCTGAACGCCCTGACCGCGGGCACACCGGGCGTCACTGTCAACATCGCCAACCGCATATTCGCCGACGAGCGCTTCCCTATCGTGCCACAGTACCGACGTGATGCGCAGGACTTCTACCAGGCATCAATCGAGACTGTAAGCTTTGGCGGCCGGCCGTCGGAGGCCACGCGCCTCGTCAACGAGTGGGTCTACAACAATACCAACGGAAAGATTGCGCAGCTGCTGGTGGATCCGCTGCCGTCGCTGACGCGCATGGTCGCTGCCAACGTGGTCTACTTCAACAGCTCATGGAAGACGCCGTTCAAGCCGGAGCACACAGCGGCGCGACCGTTCAACGTGAGCGCCTCCGAGGTGGTGATGACGGACGTGATGATGAGCAGCATGGAGGTGCCTTACGCCGCCTTCCACGGGGACAAATTCAGCGTGGTGGGCCTGCCGTACGAGGGCGATCGGCACAGCATGTACGTGTTCCTGCCTGACGAGGTCGGCGAGGCGGCGCTAGAGCGCCTGGAGCGCCACATCGGCGAAGTTTCTCTCGACTCGATCATCGACGCGCTCCGGTTGACGTACCTGCCAGTGGCGCTGCCACGCTTCAAGATGAGCCACACGCTCGCGCTGAGCGGCGTGCTGCGGCGCATGGGCGCGATAGACCTGTTCAGCCAAAGGCGCGCGTCGCTTCGCCGCCTCTCGCCCGACAACCAGCTCTTCTTGAGCGAGGTGCTACACCAGACAGTCATCGACGTGCACGAGCGCGGCACGGAGGCGGCGGCCGCCACCGTCTCTTTTGCCTCCCGGTTCGGAATTTCTCCCAACTTCGCAGCCACCCGGCCGTTCCTCTTCGTCATCCGTGACAACAAGACCGGTGTGCCTCTCTTCTGGGGTCGTCTGATACGCCCCGACCCCAGCACGCTCTAGATGCCACGCGGCCCGCGGTCGCCGCCACGCCCGAAGCGCCGCACCGCGCTTGCGGGGTGCTCGACGCCCGACGGAGGCCCTGCTGTCCTCCCTCCGACGGCACCGCCTTCCCGGGACAGCTCTGGAAGCTGAGGCACGCGCGCGGTGCGCACTGTCCTCTCGCGGTCGGAGCGCGCGGCGTGAGCTCGACTACTGATCCTTCGGGGATTGGACTCTCGACCCGTCAGTCTCAGGTGGTAAGCCGCGAGCCTGCTTGGAAGGGGGAGCTGTCGACCGCGTGCCCGCGTGCGATGCGTTGAGGGCACGGTTGACGCAGGCTACCGCTCTCAGGTGTTGGTCCGATGCTGGCGGGCGGGCGAGCGGTGAACACGCGCCGCCACGAGTCCGGCGCGTTTCTGACCTGTGATACGACCCCAGATGCGCTGTCGGTGCCGACGGGGGGCCGCGCAAGGCAGCCGGGGTGCCTCTGCTGGGTCAGCGGGCCGGCCGGAGTCGGCAGCGCTTGCGTGATCTGGTGACCAGGCCTGTGCAGGCTGCCGTCGTTCATTCCGTTTGTCGTGTCTGTTTTGAATAAATCGATGCATTGTGTCTATTTCGTCGGCTTGGTGCTAGATAAGCCGTGGGATTGGTTTGTGGTTGTGGTGGTCGTAGCAGGCCCAGAGACGACAGGACTGATGATGAGGCCATTCCATCCGATCTGCGATAAATTGTTATTGCTAAGCTGAAAGCTTCTGCCGTTAAAACCAGCTCCTGCATATTTTTGAAGACGTATTTGCTGAGATGGTCATCGATCTATGCTTTCGTAAATGGTCGGTTGCGGCGCCATTTTGGGAGTGTAAGCCCACACTGCATGGAGACGTTTTAAGCTCATTTACTGCCGTGGCTGGCATTGCCACACACGAATTAAAATGCCACTTCAATGTGATTTCCATCCAAAGTTACGCGCATACAACCTTAGCCATTCAAGGATTCTGATGCCTGCTGGGGCTCTGTGTATGACTTGCGACATCTGTTATATAACGGCTAAAAACCCCGACCAGGGAAAACCAAAGCCGTCGGGTTTTTTCTTGAACCTGCCTAATCTGGGCAAACAATTCTGCGACAACGAGGTAACTCGGAGGGAACTCGCTCATAGGGAAACGGTCTGCCGCAGAAAAGTGGTCATTCGGGCTACGTAATTGTAAAACTGCTCGTTTTGCGTGGAATGACAAGCAATTCTCCATTTACTATTCCTGCGCTCATCACATGTTATCGCATGACCAAGCGGACGTTAAAGTCATGTCGAAAAACCACCAAAAGAGGTCCTTTGAGACGTCGTCAACCAAGTTGTTACAGCTGTCATTTTCAAATAACACTGCGACCCGCAATAATAGATTGCTGCGCCTCATGGCTGTAAGCTGGACACCAGTGTAGCCATCAACAAAACGTCATTAATAAGACATTTGCACTCGGGGCACATACTTCCCGTAGAGTCCTGCTGGCCACCCGGGCGTGCCTCCCACCACGGGTGCGGAGAGAGGAGGGAGTTACGTCACCGACTGCCGCCAACTGCAGGGTAGGGTAACCTCACACCGGCCGGGCACCTGTGCCGAGCCTTGCATCAGGGCTGGGCGGGCCATGTTTATAAGGGAAGAGTGTACGCGCCACGCGGCCCATTCGTCCCGAGGTCTTCAGAGGGGAGGGGGGAGGGGAGGTGGGGACCGCGGGCGCAGGTCCGACGCCTTCGGAGGATGCAACACACGGGCGAGCATCGCAAGGGACAGACACGGGTCATGGTCTGGCCGGAGGCGGCCGCGGTCGAGCCGCCGCCGCAGCTCCCGCCGAGCCTGGTGTTTTCCAACCGAGGCGCTCTAAGATGGGCGCCGAAGCGGTGGACATCCCAACCACAGGGAACTACGCGGTGCATGCGCTGACTCAGCAGCACCCAGTTTGGGTGACGCGCTGCGGTGAAACACCAGCCAATCTGGTCTGCAGTGTCTGCGGAATCGTTGAGACATTCACTCCTTGTTTGTGCCTCCCTCGTTAAATCCATGCGAACAATCCCAGCTTAAGCTCGCATGCATGCTCACTTAATCATCGCCAGTGTAGGACGTGAGCGCGGGACGGGGACGGTGTTCGTACAATCCCCATTCTGTTTTACGTAACCCCCGAATTGCTTAACGGTTAATAACAAAATTGAAGCCGGTTGGGCTTGCAAACATTTAAGCCTGATCGTAATTTCTCACTTCTACCCGCTTCCAATCACCGAGGTATGATATTGCCCTGAAATGGCTGCGTGACAAACATGTGCAAAGTCGATGCTCCGCAACGGAGGCGTTCCAGGGCATTCTACCAGTTAAAAGGTTGACTATACACCATCATCTCTCAGATGCGAATGAGATCTATGACAGCGAGTTCTCAAGGGCAAAAAGCAAGCCAGTGATATAGACTTAGTAGCACGGGTGTCACTTTCTAAAATGGGTTGGGAAGGCTCAGCTGATAAGGGTAACTTAAACCATCCCCAAAGCCTGATTTCTCCCCGGATTTCGGCCACCAATTTGCATTCTCGATGTTAGAATTTTAAACTTGCCTTCATGTTTCGTAGATTATGCTTCCCTGCGGAGGAAAGACTTTTCACTAAAATCTAACGTGAGCTGCCTTTTTGTGGAAAGCTTAAAATGAGGTGTAATTCAAAGAAAAAAGTCTAGAAAATATGCGTAAGGAGTTACTGATGGCTATCGCTGCCGTTGTCGTGTAACCACCACAGCCACGATTATCCAACAGGTTACACTTGTGACTGTCGGGGATAACGCGCGTTAACTTTTACCTGGGCCACCCCGTACTTTTAAAAACTGTCACATATTGCAGTCAGTCGTTCTTCATCCCAATTCTCTGACGAAAACTTGTCAAACATTTGCAGACTGACTCAACGTGTGAAGGAGTCAGTATGACAAGCACATTAGGTACCTTCAGGATTTCGTACAAACTTAACATGATGCTTATAAGATGTGTCAAGGTACCTTCTGTCTGGTATACCCGGAGGTAGCACAATTGTTCCGTATTTATTTGGTCCAGCATTTCCTCTTTGCTCATATGTAGTGTGAGTGGAGGGCTGAAGTCAGTATGGGGGGGGGGGGGGGAGCTTAAGGCAGTATGGAAAGGCCCAGGCGCCCCCAAAAGATATAAAGTGACATCCCAGCTTGGTAGGTCAACGATTTAGCATTTAAAGCCCCAGGAAAAGCCGTTGACCTGTAAGAGGTATTTTTAGTTTTAGCTTTTCTTTGAACAGTGTTGTTTTGAAACCAACCATTTGGGCGCATTGCTAACAGTGATATGTTTATTTGCGTTGAAGTGTAACTTCTCAAACTAGTGCAAGCTAAAAATGGACGCATGACCCAAGCTCAGATCGATGTATCCGAAATCCAGGTGACGTGTTGATTTGTGGTCGCAAAACGCATTTTCACAACTATTTTGGATAATGAAGACCTAAACCTAGTGCTTTTGTACACTAAGATAGCATTTTGAAAACAGCAAAACCTCACATTTTTGATGAATTTTGGAACTTTTCAGGTACTGGAATTCTTTAATTGATCTATCTAGCGGCTTATTAAGTACCGCATCCTTTACCTATTTCACATTTTTACAAAAGCATCATGGTAGCCTTCTAAACGTTCAGCGTACAACACATCTAGTTCATTAACATGCCTCCACTTGAGACGTTTCTGAAAACGTGAGTTACTATACGAATTTCACACCGGCACCGCACATGAATCCCGTTTTTCAATATCCGGTGCCACCCTTTTGGCATCTGACCTTATTCAGATTTTTTAAGAGGTCCCCCGTGGCGGCCGTGGATTGGGAGACATGAATTAAGCGCGGCCGCAGTTTTCTTCATTTCCCCTCTTTTCCAAAAAACAGATGTTGATGGTGGTTTCGAACTTCTACATGAAGAAAGCAATCATCACCGTGCAGACAACATTCGCCCCGCGCACCAGTGCTGTGGAGTCTCCTGTTTTAATCGACTGCTACTCTGACTACATTTTTGGGAAAACGACTCTTACTATACTCCGACACCGACTCCGACTCAGAACCAGTTGCTTGGAGGCAGCAATGTGCGACAAAAATTTTAACCAGCAGAGCACTGCACGGATTTAACCAAACTGCGGATTGTGAATAGATCCACGGGTGGTTTGGGCTGAATCAAGAAATTATGAAAGCACACGAAATAGGATCGGATCTGATTTTGGAACTTGCCATGCTCCGCGTATTGAATGGATTGAAAATCGCTTAAATTTGGAAAGATGCTTACTGGATTTACTACACCCCCTAGCCCCTACTACACTACACTACCCCCTACACCCCCTACACTACTACACCCGGTGAAAGGAGCTTCAATCCTGCAAAGATGTTGGCGTCAATTATGGGTAAGTTAAAGGTATCATTGATTATAAGTGTAAGCATGCCACCGAATGGAATGCCAACAGCAAACGCTCACACTAAGCACGACAGCAGTTTGATGGGTGGTTAAAACTCCTCACCTAGTTATTATTTAAACATATAGCAGAGAATGGGTTGACAAACGTAGCTGTAGGAAGTCCCTCTTTAGCAACATTCAAAAACCGATTGAACAAGTTCTATTGGTCTAAAAAGCTAAATCCACGCAGGCCAGGTGATAAGATTAGTTTCGGAGATGTGCGTTTTTACTGAAAGCATGACATTTTAAGCATATGGAGGGACAAGATTGGAGAGCCTTTGCAGTGAGGAACATTTCCTCACAGAACAGGTACGGGCACGTCACAAATTGGGACCAGCATGCTGCGGTAGGCCATTGGAAGGGCAATCGCAAGGTGTCCCAAATGTGGGGTCTCACGCGTCACATGTCGGCACGCGTGGGCTGGCAAGATGAACTCTGCTCTTGTGCACAGGTTTACATGGTGTGTGCCACATCTCAACACCCAGGGCACGAACCCACTCGCATGCCTTGATATGTCACACGGCTGTGTGTCACGCGTGCATGATGCAGCAGGACTGATTTAGCCATCTCCGACCGTGTTTCACTTTTTACCCAGAGAAAAAATGGCCGTGTTCAACATTTTCGCATCCAGAGATGCCAGAGGCGTGAATGCAACTGTGATACATAAATCATTCAAATGTCTACGTCTTAAAATAAGCGCAACAAAGCAAGCGCGCAAACGCTTGTCTACGTACCTTTTGCTTCGGGTGCGTCTGTGTCTGTCCCGTTTTGCGGTGCGGCGTCCCTGGGCCGAACGGTGGGTTGCCGGGCGGTGAAATCTTAACACGACGCGCGAGTGCACAAGACGACTTTCCACGGGCAGATCGCGAGCTGCTGCGTGCCACACATGGTTGCGTCAGTAGTCGTTGGGCAAGCCGTTAATGTCGGCATTTCTGAGAACGGCGTCGAATACAACACGCTTTCGTCGAAGCTGTATCCAGGGTCGTGGCTAAACACACATCATCGCTCGAGCCGATTCATTACTCGTATTTGCCACCATATCATTTGCCATTATATGCACCATCCCGTCTAAACATTAGCTTTACCTTGACAGTCGTAACTCCTTATTCTGGCGTCGCCAAAATGCCACCGATTGATCG